TCATTACTGCATCTTCAGTGCTATCTATTCACTTGTTAAACATGTAACATGCTCTTAAACCATTATCAAAACATTATGAAACAAGTGCTTGACTTTTCTAGAGAATATTGATTTGATTGTGCTTTTTTTAGTATAGGGTAATGTTTGTTAATTAGCATTAAGGGAATTAGGTTGCTCTGGCCTGGGGTAGCCAAATGACAGATTTAGTATTGTCCGATAAGTATCGACAGCTTTAGTATTGACCGATTAAATATTGGTTAAAGTGTAGCTGTTGTCAGCAATGATTAAGGAAACTACATTTGTCTGGCGCGACACATTCGTGCAACCTATTTAATGGAATGCTGACTTAACAAACACAAGCCTACTAAGTGGTTATATTATGATTTGAATCTTTTCTCAAAGGGAGTATGATACATTGATTTAAATAGATAATGCTAAGTAACAAAAAGGTGCCGATAAAATAAACTAAAATTAAAAAGCACCACTAAATTTGAAACAAAAAATAACTATCTCATTAGACAATACATAATTTCAACCACTAATTCTAGCATTATATGTATTACAAATGTATAGTTTTGTAAATAGTTCTTGAATTGTATTTAATTTTTTACATATTTGTCTTTTACAGCTAAGCACTTATTTTTAATAATTCAATTTTCTGAACAAAATTGTACAAGTAACCTTTTTTTTATATTGATGATACCTTTTTTGTATCTTTTACACGATATCAATGTATAGGAAGTACGTTATAATTAATAAGGTTTTTGGCAGGTTATATTCCCCAGTATAACAATTTAAGCTTTAAGTATATAACCCAAGTTGCCAGGTGATGGTTATATAGCAAACAACTTTTCATTAGTCTTTATATTCAAATTAAGATATTTCTTTCCTGTCGCCATTATTTTGAAACAAATCAATTTGCACTTGCTACAATCATGTTTATTCTTAGATATAAAGATTCTGAATTTGTTACGGCTGTTTGGGTTTATAACCCGAGCTGCTAGGCGAGGATTATATAGAGGATATTTGTTTAGTTCAGTGTAAGATCGAAATATATTTCACAGAGTGAGCACCAAAAGGTATATTTCACGTGTGACACAGCCACGAGTGAAATATGAACTTTTGGTGTTCACAAGGTGAAATATATTTCAATCTGACACTAAACTAAACAAATTTTCTTTTTACCACATGCAAAGAAACGTTTTATAAAGACAATAAAACCTAATACAAATAATAATACAACGTGACGTCAATTACGACGTCACGTCATTAAGTTGGTACCCAGTACTGTGCACGCTGGTATTTCACTGAAACAACGTAAGGGGCTTAAATTAAAAACAGTGAAATTATCAAAGTGGTATTTTCACTGTTTCAAACAGTTTTATATCACTGATATATTTCTATAAACCACCGAAAAGCATGTAATAAATTGCTTACAACCGTTTATATAGAATCTTATAATGAATTTGTTATACAGAAAACTTCCTTCATTACAGAAAAATATATATTTCATACATTGACAGAGCGGTGTATTTAGTATACATAAATGTCATGATTATCCTATGAAAAGTGACACATCAAGTATGCAGTATTATAAAGATTAAACATGTATATATTGTTTATTTGAGTTACCATTGATTCATTTTTAGTTGGTGAATGTTTTATCTTTTTATAATAACCATTGTTCGGAGTAATATCACACTTTTAAGCTGCATGCCTCATAGATAAGGACTACTATAGGATATTGTACAATTTGGAGTTAAATTGATAACAATGTTAGCAGACTTGAGTATTTTAATGACAATACATAGTTCACTTCTGAACAATAGCATTCTGCAACATGAAATTGCAAATTTATCCTAAACTGTACGTAATAATTATAATGGATAAATATGATACGAATAGCAACAGATCTTCAGATTCATGCTAATTTTCATGAAAAATTTGAAAATGTATTTAAAAGTAAAATACATGTATATTGTGAGGTGAACATTGAAAATAATCTACACATTACAAATGTTGCTTTAATACAATCCATGTAAATAACCAAAAAGAATTCAAAATATGCTGCAATACACATTCCTGTGTTAGTAACGCAGCAGTAGTATGGTCATGTTTTCAGTAAAATTTACCATTAATTATTCAATACATGTAAATTATTAATTGAATCTTAAACTCTTTTAATTTCCTTATAATCTAAGAACATTGTTCTCAAATTTGATTTTATTTGAATATTTTAGCTCATTTGGATACGTTACGATGCCTTAAACTCCTGATTTTATATAAGTAAAATCAAAGTATATATACATGTATATTATAATAAATGTTCTATAAGTAACTATGTGACATTAACAATGACAATATATTTTCTTTTGCATTAAACATTGTACAAATGTTAGCAACATCAAAACGATGAAAACAGATTCCAATACTGTAATATGAAAATATGTTTTATATTAAAAAATGCGAGATGAAAATGTTGACCGTATCGGGTGAATATGCTACGTCGAGTAACATACCTTGTATATATATTATAAAGTAAATGGGTGCTGGAAAGTTATTTTGTTCTTGATGATCAAGGGGCGTTTATTCTATGATAATTTGGCCATTGTTGACATGGCAAATGTGCCGCATGCCTGTGTTAGATATCTGGTGCTAAAATATATTTGCTGCTTCAGGAAATATTTTGAGTGTTGAATAGTTAGTCTGCGTGTTGTCCTTGTTAGAGTTGAATAGAAGTGATAGTTCATTTACAAGTACACAGAAATCTTAGACATCTGGTACTAAAAATACTTTATTGCTTCAGTAAAACCTCTTGGACAAATGTTTTATAGGGAATACTTTATTTTGAAGATGTTATTGAAAGGGTTGATTTTTGATTTTTTATTAGAGATAAGAGATTGTTGATTTGAAATATTAAAGTAAGAAATAAGAGATATGTTTAGGAATATAAATTTTAGTTTGATTGAAAGTAAGTATGAATAAAGTTCCTTCTTGAAATATGTATTTTAGATACTTTAAGAATAAGTTTGAAATTTTTATTATGCATTTTATAATTTCTGAAATTATTTATTAAGTTGCTATCTAATCAAAGGTTAAGAAACCCCATCAAATGATTATACTTGAATATTTCAAATCATTCTGAATAAGTATCCCAAGAAAAATTATATATTTATATTTAAGAATATTAAGATTTTATTTTGTAGCACTTGAATAACAATTTACCGCTCGGTACACGCTACACAAAGAACAGTAACTCAGTCTTGCCTAAGTTTGAAATAATTGCACTTTGATTACAGATAAAATAGTAATTAATTTGAAATTTCATTCAAGACAAGATATCTAACGATTATGTCTACTCCCCTGTTTATAATTTGAATACTTATTTTTTGTTCACTCAAAACGCTTGGGTTATATTTATGCATGAATATTTTTCAAAGATTAGAGCAAAATGCCAAAACAGACAAAATTGAAAACAACAAGAACAAAAAAAAAAAACAACAAATGTTGCAGGCTCGGAGCTTTTAAGACTATTGCCCATTCATATGTCTTTGTTAATTTACAGTAATTGATAGACATTATTGCACCAAGGGAGATAACAATATTGTGTTATTGTTACTCATAAACATAATTTTAACAAGAAAGATAACTATATCATGTCATTGTTGTACATTACTGTAATTATTAGACATTAAATTTTCACAAAGGGAGATAAAAATATTGTGTTATTGTTGTTCATAAACAATAATTGTCAAGCATAATTCCAACAAGGGAGATACCTATATCATGTCACTTTTTTGTTTAAATGATTAAACTGTTGGCAGTAAACTTAGCAATTAGGATATTTTAACATTACATTTCCTTGCTTAATGATTAATGTTCAATGCTTATAGAATATTGTTTTCAATGTATTTAATGATAATAAAATTGTGTAAGAAGAGTCTACTTTTTCTTATCAATAACACATGTACTTACAATGGCGGCCTTGATGTTAAAACGCCTGCAGTTTACCCAGTTATTCTGGGTTTGAGCTTTACTGGAAGAAATTAATTTTTTTATGACACCAGTACTGGATAGTCCAGGAAATTGAGTCAAGAATTTTATTTATTTTACAATTTTCTTAGCAACGGAGCTAAAATGATATAGACAATAGCGATCAGTGATCACATGTGTCGCCTCATAATAGCCATAATCATTTATAATCATATTATTTTTATCATAAATCATTTAACCTAAAAACATGTGTAATATGCACAATAACTTGAGCTTCAGGTCAATCCTGTAGTTTCATTGAAATTGCATTAGTGGTCTGGACATGTGATAAAAATTAAAATCATAAAAGAGACATTACTTTGACAAAATCAATGAACCAAATATGTCAATGAGATGCACAAGTAGACCTGGTATTGGTAATTCCTGTAAAGTTTTGATAAAATTGCACCAATAGTTTCTGAGGAGTAGTCCTGACAAGCTTCTGTGTAGCTGGCAACACAAAAAACACCATTTTATTCAAGGGCCATAACTCGGCTCGAATCATTCAAGCAAAAAACTTGTGTATTATGCACAAGAACTTTACCTTCTAACCAATCTTGTAAAGTTTCAACGAATAAGTGGTATAAGAGAAGTAGTACGGGCAAAGTTTATTAACACTCTTTTCATTCAAGGGCTACAACCCGGCCAAAAAATCAAGTTGAAAACCCGTGTAATTTGCGCAAATACTAGACCTATCAATAAACCCTGTAAAGTTTCATTGATATTGCATTAGTGGTAACAGAGAAGTAGCTCAAAAATGATTAAAGGGCCATAATTCCGACAAAAAACATTGGACCATTAAAAGCTGATGATATACACAACTACACTTGGTACTGATCATTCCTGTAAAGTTTGTATGAAATGCACCAGTGCTTTGTGAGAAGTAGTCCGGACAAGCTACTGTATAGTTGGCAACACACACAAAAACACCATTTTTATTAAAAACCATTCAACCAGACAACTCGAGTTATGTGCGCAAGTACTTGAACTACCAATCAATCCGACATTGCAATAGTGGTGTTAGAGGAGTAGTCCCGACAAACGTTAAAAGTAATTATTAACAAAGTGCCATAACAACAAAAAATATTGAATCAGAAAATGCCGACTATATGCACAACTAGACTTGGTACTGACCATTCCTGTAAAACTTGAATAAAATTGCAACAGTTTTGAGGAGTAGTCCGGACAAGTAACGTACAGACGGACAGACAGGCGACTCAGAAATTATCCCTATATGTCACCACTTCTCTGTAGAAGCGACACAAAAAATGTTATGATAATGTAGATATAATAAGGGAGATGTTAATTAGATACTTAAAGAAATTGTGGACAATGACAACAAACAATCGGTCACACCAAAGCTCACCTTTTAGCCCTCGTGTAAGCTTTATTTATGAAACATTTAGTAATAAGATAATTTTCCCCTGCTTAGACAAGAACGATTGGTGATCACATGGCCTTGTGATAGCCAATTACATATTACTGCTACCGTGTAGCAGGAGACACAAAAATAGTAAAAGGGCAAAACGCGTTTTTTTCAAGGGCCATAACTAAGCCAAAAATCATTCAACTGCAAAATCTGTGTAATATGCACAAGTATTTGTACCACTGATCAATCCTGTAAAGTATCATTGAACTTGCATCAATGATATTAGTGGAGTAATCCGGACAAATTAAAAAAAAAACATTAAAGGGCCAGAAATCTGACAAAATCATTGAACCGGAAAATGCCAACGATATGCACAACTAGACTTAGTACAGATCGTTCCTGTAAAGTTTGGATGAAATTGCAACATTAGTCTTTGAGGAGTAGTCCGGACAATTTTTTTTACGGACGGACAGACGACGAAGAAGTGATCCCTATATGTCGCCATTACTCTGTAGAGGCGACAAAAAATACCAAAATCAGAATCAATATTTTCATTTAATACATGCATATTTTAAAATTGCTCCCTGTCAAAAAATACTAACAGCACATGTTTGTTTGGCTCAGTAGTTCAAAATATTATTTCTACTAATGTTTCCTTATAATAATGATACCATTTTGGTTAGTTCCAGGAAACAGACATTAAGAGAATGGCACGAACAGCTCAAAGCGTTCATAACAATAGGAAGCTTACTAACAAGAGGACCATGATGGCTTTGGATCGCTCACCTGAGATTCTTGCAGTGCTCAGATGAGCTGCATATGCTGCCATTGCAATATAGATGAAAGTTTTATTCTGGGACTTGAACACACAACTACAAACACAAGATATAAAACGATAGTGTATAAATTGTACTATAACATACAATATTTGGTATAGAACGTTATTGGTCATATAAAACAATATTTGAAACTCAAACTCTTCTGAAAACACATCCATAAATCAAAAATTTCTACATTTCTACATTTTATTTTCAATCAACAGGAAATATTTTATTTTCAATCAACAGGAAATGCTCCCCTTACATTATTTTTCTTTCTTTTCAGCTTGTTCCTTTTTGTGATACATTAAGCTTGTAAAGGACTCCACAGACAATTTTTGACATTACTGGAAATATTTTTTTGAGATTTATGTTCCATTTGATAAAGGTCTAGACCAATACTCTGAGTGCAAAATTTCAGAACATTCGACCACTCTGTTTTTCCAGAGTGATTTCTTCCCTAAATGTGAAAAATGAATCAAAATGAAAAGCTGTTAAAGGCATTTTACAGTTAAGACAATGTTTTATCAATGAAGCAGACAGACTGACCTTAAAATCAACAGGGACCATTTACTTGCCAGTCAAACCTTCACACCAAATCTTTGGACTGTACACTAAAGCGTCAAGTAATCGCCATTAGTGACCTTGACCTTAACAGTTAAATTCAACTAGGTTTAAGTTGTTCAAGTCTCAGGGACTTTAAACAAACAGACTGAAATTGACTAAAAACCTTATCAAAATTGAAAATAAAAGTGATCTCAAGTCATATGATGGTTTGTACTCGTAAAAGTCGAAATAGTCGTTTACATTTCTCCCAGCGTAGTCTTTATTTAAAGTCGATGAAGTACAGTACAGTTTTGGAAGTCGTCTACTTTTGTCACATTCACAAGACATAACAGTTGTATTCGTTGTTTTTGCTGTTGTAGCCGCAATTGAAGTCATACATACGAAGGACCGCTGGGGGCATTTCAACTTCATGAATTCCAGATTTCAGCTTCATGAATTCTCGATTTCAACTTCAAGAATTCACGATTTCAACTTCATGAATTCACGATTTCATCTTCACGAATTCACGATACCAAATTCAAATCGTGAATTCGTGAACTTAGTGTCGTGAATTCATGAAGCTGAATCGTGAATTCGTGAATTCCGTATTTTGAAAACGGGAATTCACGAAGTTTAAATTGTGAATTCATGAAGATGAAATCGGGAATTCATGAAATTTAAATGGCCCTACCGGTCTTACTTACATAAACGATAAAACTTGTACATTTTGTATTACAAGTATCTTACATTAAGAATAGAGTTTCAATATTTTCTTGGTGGCGGTGGTGTCTGATAATCTGTATTCAATTTGTTGCAATTGACTGACTCATAAAGTGAACCTTGTGCTGAAAAATGTACACTATGATATTCATGAATGCTATTCTGGTCACATGATGCGATGTTGTTATTCAATGCTGATTGGCTATTTGTGTCCAGGCACGTGTAAATGTTTTCATTCGCTGATGACGTAAAATTGGCGTCTTCGTAATTGTCAGGAGTTGACTTCCGCTTCCGGTATCGTCTGCATATCAAAGAAAAATTAACAAAATTTAACTATGAAAGTTGGGCAAACAAAACAAATTTTAAAATACCTGATCAATATATGTAATCATAAAACTACATGTATATATTTTTACATTTCTCGCATTAACCCGACGCAAGCTAAATATGGTACAGAAATTTTCAAAATATTAAGACGGACAGACGAACAGAAAACGTGTTTTATACAACTGTCAAACGGTCTTTTTCTTCATTTTATCACATGGGCTTAATATAAAGCAAGACGGGTTATATCTTAAATACTACAAATTATGATATATCTGCTAGGAAATATGCTGTGCTTATTATTCATGGTTATGTAATTTATAAAAAATGTAAACTTTTTTGTAGCTAAAGATAAGAAAATACGTTCAACACTAAATGATAAATTGACCGTTTATTGCTTGACCTTTGTTTTTCAAGAAGCAATACGTGTACAGTTCATGTACATAGAAACCCCCTCAAATACTGTAGTACTAGCAATACCTTAGATAGATGAAAGAACCGGCAACGAGCAGGGCTATCAAACATATCACCGTCAATGTTGAAACAACTGGTACAGTAAATTTATTCTCATTTTGTCTCAACGTATCAGATTCTGTGGCTACAGTAGTTGCCAAAGTTGTTGTTGTGGTAGTAGTTGTGGTGGACATATCTGGTAAAGTAGAAAATTTAATACAAACAATGCATTCTTTCACATTGATTTTATCTCAGTGCAGGAACACATTACTTAATATACCTAATTACAATAATAATTTATTCTTGATTTCAATTTACTTCAGCTTCATTTTACTGTATAATTCGCTAGTCATCATTAACTCTTAACAAATCGTTTTTGTTTCGTTACATAAGCATTGATACATAAGTTTCTGGTATATCTGAAATAAGAAGGCCTGAATATAACTTTTTTATGGCCTTTTATAGTATTTAACCGGTCACATGTGGTGTTAGAACAACCGCACGTTCTCCAAGGACGAAACTTGCGAGTTTCCCGATCCAAATGCTTTAGTTATGATATACCTATTTATCTGTTTATTCGGTTTGACGTGTGTATTGTGCTTAAAATAAAGCAATGAAATAAGTACTAAAATAACGATCTGGAAGATGCTATTTATAGAGGGGAAAAGAACCGCTTTAATCTGCGTGGCTAAGTCGCAATACCAACTCATTTAAGCCTTATATTTTGCCCATTGCCATCTACACAGAGTAAAAACTAAATCACTTTATCATTGTAGAAAGTTTATGGGTTCGATCCCCGGGAGATGCTTTGGTAGTTTAGCACGGAGGAAGGTAGTCTAGTACTGGTGTAACTCTCCAGGAACGATGGTTAGGAAACTACCCGCCTATATGACTGAAATACTGTTGGGAAAAGGCGTAAAATGAAACAAACAAACATACAGGAAGTAGATGCGACCTACTAGTCTGCCTTATACTTACCTTTCTTCTTACATATAAATGGCATTCTTTCGTCACAACGATAATCATTTAATAGGCCACGATATTTTGATTTAAGACTAATCTCCACACAGTCTTCCCCAAAGAATGAATCAAAGAACCCATCTTCAACATTGGCATTGTCTGGGTTTCCTGGAAAAAAAGAGAAACCAGTTGGTTGATAAAGTAAAAAACATTACACCTTAAAAACTGCTGTCTATTAATTACACCACCTGCTTTAAAGTGTATAAAGAATATGGTAAAAATGGACGCTGGTATATATACGTGAAAGGTCTATATGTATCATTATATTTGAGCCGCGTCATGACAAAACCAACATAACGGGTTTGCGACCAGCATGGATCCAGACCAGCCTGCGCATCCGCGCAGTCTGATCAGGATCCATGCTGTTCGCTTACAAACCCTATAGCAAGTAGAGAAACTGAAAGCGAATAGCATGGATCCTGAATTATCTTATGGTATCTTACCTGGCCACCACTCGAATCTGTCTATGTCTGCTTGTGAATTATTTACCCATCTCCAGTCACCTTCATCTCCATCATCAGATATTCCTATCCAGACACCATGTGCTCTGATTCTTCTTAACAAGTTATCTGTCAAAATATTTGACATTTAATGAATTGCTAGTAATATTTGACATTTACTGTAATTGCTGTTAATATTTTACATTTAATGTAATTGCTAGTAATCATTGACATTTTATAAAATCGCTACTTATTATTTGACATTTAATTTAATTGCTAGTAAATATTTCACATTTAATGGAATTGCCAGTTAATATTTGACATTTAAAGTAATTGCTAGTAAAATATTAATCATCTTTTGTAATTGCTAGTAAATATTTGGCATTTAATGAAATTGCTAGTACATATTTGACATTTAATGTAATTTCTTGCAAATATTTGACATTTAATGCAATTGCTAGTAAATAATTCAATGTAATTGCTAGTACATATTTGACATTTAGTGTGATTGCTATTAAGTATTTGACATTTAATGTAATTGCTAGTACACATTTGACATTGTGTTAAATATTTGATATTGTATGTTCATATTTGAAATTGGACAAGCAGGAGACGCTATAGGCATTGGTCAATGTTTTTATATTTTTACAACAACAACAACAACAACAATGATAATAATAACGACGACGACATTAACAAAAATAAGACATACTCGTAACATTACAGGTAATATTCAAATATATATGATATATGAACGAATTAATTGCGACATATTTATGTTAAAGCAACTCAACACAGGTCTAGAAGCTTAAAAACATAAATTTTAAATCTCCTACATAGATCAACTGGGGCACTTAAAACAAAAAGAAATACAAAACTAAGTAACAAATATACTTAGAAATAGATCGGAAATCGCATTTTTGTGCTTTTCGTATTCCGATTAAAGCTTTTTCAATTTTGGGACATTTTTTTCACTAGAATGAGCGAATGATCTGAATTTTACACAAGTTTCTGGTTAAGAACTCCATCAAATGGAGCATTGATTTCGAAAAAATAAATCCCAGTCCCGTCATGTAAAAAAAAACTCAGGGGAGTCACTTTAAGAAGTTTACCTTTTATGAACATTTGTTCTGTGTAGTCATATAAATCTGTAAGTTCCGCGTCTTGTTTTGAACAAAAGTCTTTAGCGTCTTCCCATTCTAATCTTGGTGTTGTATATAGTTTGTAGCATACTCCAAATCTGTCGTACGGAACCCATTTCTCCTCGCAGCATTCCGGTGTTTGTATATAAATACCTGGAATATATAATTATATAGTTCTTTAATTTTATAATAGAAAAACAAGCCAGGAAAAGTAACCCACGTTATGCATCAGAAACAAATAATTGTTTTCTTCTTTAAAAAGGACGAACTGGCGTTTTGTAACATTAAAATGTAATGGTTTTAAAGCATGCTAGCTCGTTTTATTACCTACCTTACGAGTGAAATTATTTCTCATATAGTAGCAAAATGTTAAGATAAAAAGTCACAATAATTGTACTTATTGCCAAACAGGAAAAGAAGCAAGATATGGTTCAGGTAACTGGCCAGTCAGTAACTCTTTAGAAACTATAACGGGACACCAACTTGGACATACAGGACCTTTGAAAAAATAAGTTCACATAGTTTAAAGGCACTCTACGCCCCATAAATAAATATTTCTTTTAATTCTTTAGAAATGTCAAACATGTGTTTAATAGTGTTTGTATAATGGATTTAGAGCATGTTAGATGTTTAATAACTGAAGAAAGTAGCGCTGAACGTGCAATAATGTGTCATAAAGGTAGCAAAATGTAAACTTCCATACAAACTACTGATTCACTATAATTATACAAATTGCCAACAAAACTATAGTAACTGTTGCAAAAAATATATGGCAAATAAGTATTACTTTGAAATCTGTAACAAAAAAATAAATGCACCCTTAATGTAAATTATATTTGGCGAACTAAAAGAAATCACGAATACATTTATAATGAAAATACGTTAAAACATAAAACTTAGCTAAAAGAATTTAAAACATGTACACACAATTGTGAACACACGCACACTCAGTTGTGTTAATTAGTGTACCTTTTCAAAGACGGTGCTTGTGCACGCACACACACTCGCACACTTGTGCGCGCACAATGGCCTAAAAGAAGTTGCCCCTTGTTTTGTCAATGCTGTCTGGTCATAACAACCAAAACAACATCCTCTCTTTTACGCTAACACATGGATACAAAGAAATAATATTTCCTTTCATTTTTATAACGAACAAATTAAGTGTCATAGATTATACACATGCGCATATGTTTCTATATACATGTATCTAAATGTTTTTTGAATATATACTTAGAAAATGAAATTCCTGCTTCATTCGGTTTAAGCTATGAGATGTACTATGATATGTACTAACGAAACTATAACTATGTACTAACGAGAGGTTCAGAAAATGCTAGAATTATCGTGAAAAATCGCTAAATATTGTCCATTGACGGACCAAAATAAAAACTGATTTTCGTAAAAAACGTTCTTACCTATTACACTTATCCATATTAAGAGATTTACCATTTTGTTTAAGTAAAATTGCTCTTTGTTACACCATTGAACACTAGTTATTACTAATACCACATTTGGTAAAATGAATGAAAAGTATGGAACACAAAATATGTCATTAGGAGTTTGAAGTGTCTTCTCTCAAAACGAGGCAAAAACGCGCTTTGTGATTCCCTTTTAACAAAACGAAACATGCTTATGAGATTTATTGCACTTGATTTATCTATAAGAGACATTTTTACCAGTTTAACAGCCTTAGTGTTAGACGCATTAATGCACATATAATACGTGTATAAAACACATTTTGCATTAGGATTGAATTTTTTCTTCTTTATGTGTTTCGTTATATTTCAATCATGGATTTAAAGGATGCTTATCATCGGAAGTAAGTAGCTTGGTGTGACTACTTAATCACTTAAATTGTACAAAAAGCAAGAAAAAAAAGTAATAATACTTTAAAAATATGTTATAAGAAGAAATAACAGTGAATATTTTACATATATGGACTTTTTTGCTGGTGAATATGATGTGATATGTACTGAAGAAAAAATATGAAATAATTTGCATTTGACGTTCCATAGAAGTGTACGTGCGTTCTAGTTATTACTTCCGGTTAGTAAGACTTCTGACCGATCTGTTAAGTAGTCCCGGAAAGACAATAAGGTCATAAAACTTAGTCATCAACGTTATGATGTTTATAATTTAGGTATATTTGTATCAATTATAGTTGTTTAACAATACGTCCATTATGAAATTGGCACTAAAATATTCCAGCCTAGCCCATGGGTTTGGGAAGGCAAGGGTGGATGGGGGGGGGGGGTACATCCCTGAAGCCAGTGCCTTAATGAGACACTGCCATGTAATTTTAAAACACTAATTGTAAACACATGTTCAAATACTTACAAGCATGTCTAAATATTAAAACCAAACGTTCAAATGTCTTAACGAATGTGACATGTACATGTATATGGCAAACTTCAAATATGTATTTCGCTACACTAAATTTAGTAAATACATGTGTGTACTCAATATGTATAACGTATTAGTTTGACGTAAACATCAAATTCTTTTTACTTAACAAAACGTCAAAATATCTAACAAAAACACACGAACTCACAAATATTCATCCCGACGTTCAAATGAGCCGCGTCAAGACAAAACCAACATAATGTGTTTGCGACCAGCATGGATCCAGACAAGCCTGCGCATCCGCGCAGTCTGATCAGGTCCATGCTGTTCGCTTACAGACCCTATAACAAGTAGAGAAACTGATAGCGAACAGCATGGATCCTGATCAGACTGCGCTGATGCGCAGGCTGGTCTGGATCCATGCTGGTCGCAAACTTATTGTGTTGGTTTTGTCGTGACGCGGCTTAAATGTATTCAAACGTATACACAAACGTATACAAGTAAATGTGGAGATAAAAAATCACTTCAAATCAGATTCACAACCAACAATATCTAGTGTTAGTCTAAGAACACACATGGAACGAGTCCTTCCAAGGAATCCTATACATGTATTTCATTTTAATCGCATTACACTTCCTGACTTTTCTCTATTATCACTTTACTTCATTTTGTATGGGATTTTCATGCAGTCATTCATCCTTGAGAAATTCTTTCCGTCATGGGCCATATGGATTCTGGTGTGTGCAAAACAAACAATGTGTATCTATGAATGGAATGTCACAAAACTGGCTCAAAATATTTATCAAGTTGTGGTGCGGGGTTTATTAAGTTACAACGGGGGTGGAGGGTGAGGTTGATTTCCGTGTTCATGCTATTCTTTAAATAAAACACTTCTGTGCCGTAGGTTTCAATGTCCATAATATTTTTTAACAAATAATTGTGTGTCGTATTTTCTCCGTAGTATAATAATATTCCGTAAACTTGTAATTATCAGTTGTCTATTCATCTTTGGTATTAATTTAAAAATCCTTTTGGCATCATAAACACACAACTCAGTAAGTCCTTTTCTTGTTGTTGTTTTTTTTAATTTCCTTTTTTCATATTTACATCAACAGTTCTGACCGGTCAAAATAACAAATATATATTTACATGTACATTAAAATGCACCGCAGAAAACTGCGGACTTAAACCGTCACATGTTAAGTGTCTGACTGCCTGAACCCTCTATATAAAAAAAATTCTTCTCTTTTATTAATACAAATATAATTGTTACAAAGGTTTCAATAATTAACCAATGAAAAAATGACCTTAGACGGGAAAATATTAACCAATGAAAATACATTTTATCAAATATGAAATTATTGATTTGACCAATAAAAATGGTTCGATTAAAACTGATTAACACGTTAGATGTCAAAAGTCAGCGGCCTGTTAATTCCTTTCTTTAAGTTAAACAGATAATCAGATAAGAAAACTTCAAATAAATGTCGTAGATAAAATTAATGATAATTTATATATTTCTGAATTTCAATAATTTAAAAACTTTTTATAACATAAACAAGAAAATATAATAATTTTACGAAAAGTATTTTGAAAGAATCAAATGGAAAAAATACAGCATAACATCACCTCCTCCTCTATTTTACTTTATTCCATAAAGTGAGAGGTTCCTTATATATATTAAGACAATAAAAGTGATTACAACAAGTACAATGTATTATGTGCTTATGTAGAGGGCTATATTAGAGTGGAGTTGATCTCAACACATTGTTCTGTTTTATTAATCAAAGTTACTTTCTTAGTGGAATACCACAAACAATATGTTTAATGTGCACAGGTTATCCTGAGTTAAATTTAGTGGAAAGCCACAATGTTATCTCTTGGAAATCCAAAATCTAACTTTAATTCAACACAGCATTTGTTAAATTCATTGTGCTATTTTCTTTTTGTGAACTCACAAAAATCCTATTTGCTTACTACATTATAGAATCAACTTTAACATAGCTATACCTCAGCATGTAATAATTAAGACATAATATATATTAAGCTATTTTGTAATTTTAAAATACCAGTATAAAAACCAGACATTATAGTCTATAAGTATTAATATCACAAAGCAAATTATATTAACAAAGTACATGCTAATTTATAGAAAGTTTACAAGTTTCATCAACATCTAATGATTAGGTCTTTAAAAATATATATTTCATCTTTTCATGATTATACAATAATTCAACATCAATTCGTCAACGAATGCCTTATATAGACGATACTTCATAATACTTTCATTTTTTTTTCTACTAAACAATTTTAAGTAGCATCACCCATCATCAAACATAATGCAATTATCAACACATGCAACTCTTACTAGATACCGAAGTGGCACATAAAATCATGATGAAGAAAATCATTCCGACCAATGACACTAAAACACAAGCAAACCACTACTTTAGACACCAACCGAACCAAATACATGTATCGTCGACGCATACACCATTCAGTAACCATAGATAAGACTTAAAAAAAAGAATTCACACACACTCGATCCACTAACAGAAATTTACATACAAAATCTTATATATAATGATGATGTCCAAAATAAGCAGATGCAAAGTTTGAACCCCAAAGCCCAGAAATGACACTACAATCATATTTTTCAAAAGAAAATAAATCATACGTCCACATTATCAATAAAATAAAGTCAAATGTTAGGCAAACATACCTTTAAGACAATACTGATATTAAGTATCTGAGAATTAAAAACATGTGAATTGATAAAACAAAATGTTCTGTAATTTATATGTTTTCCTTTGACCGCTTCATCTCTCCATACATTTCGTCTGATAATATCCGGTTAAGTCTTCAACTTTAAATTATCCATTTCCGCATTCGTTTATTGAATTTTTAGTTCCTATATTTCGTCTTGTTTTTTTTTTAATTAAAAATTTGTCATAACCACTTTACAAAAGTTTCTTCTACTTGTCTTGCATTCATGTTCCCTTAAAGCTTAAATTAATTATTACTGCAAATGTTCCTGGTTCCTAAACGTCCTTGGAATGACGATAATTTTGTCTATCACTTTGTATCGTTTCGTTTCGTGGGGAATAATTAAAAAAATACAGCATAACATCTCTTCACTCGCTTGGCTGCTGATTCGAGGTACCGAAATACTCGCCTCTCTTCTTCACCATGTGTGGTGCGGGGTTTATTAAGTTACAACGGGGGTGGAGGGTGAGGTTGATTTCCGTGTTCATGCTATTCTTTAAATAAAACACTTCTGTGCCGTAGGTTTCAATGTCCATAATATTTTTTAACAAATAATTGTGTGTCGTATTTTCTCCGTAGTATAATAATATTCCGTAAACTTGTAATTATCAGTTGTCTATTCATCTTTGGTATTAATTTAAAAATCCTTTTGGCATCATAAACACACAACTCAGTAAGTCCTTTTCTTGTTGTTGTTTTTTTTAATTTCCTTTTTTCATATTTACATCAACAGTTCTGACCGGTCAAAATAACAAATATATATTTACATGTACATTAAAATGCACCGCAGAAAACTGCGGACTTAAACCGTCACATGTTAAGTGTCTGACTGCCTGAACCTCTATATAAAAAAAATTCTTCTCTTTTATTAATACAAAATAAATTGTTACAAAGGTTTCAATAATTAACCAATGAAAAAATGACCTTAGACGGGAAAATATTAACCATTGAAAATACATTTTATCAATTATGAAATTATCGATTTGACAAATCAAAATGGATTTATTTAGACTGATTAACACGTTAGATGTCAAAAGACAGCGGCCTGTTAATTCCTTTCTTTAAGTTAAACAGATAATCAGATAAGAAAACTTCAAATAAATGTCGTAGATAAAATTAATGATAATTTATATATTTCTGAATTTCAATAATTTAAAAACTTTTTATAACATAAACAAGAAAATATAATAATTTTACGAAAAGTATTTTGAAAGAATCAAATGGAAAAAATACAGCATAACAAAGTTCTCACGAAATCTGACTTAACATACATGGAACATTGAGTTGAGCTTTAACGGGTATCAGCAGAAACACGGATTTATATTGTAATATAAATCCGTGGCAGAAAGGAGGTTGATTAATGTACGGACCCCGAACAGTGCCCGACACAAGATAAAGTAGCAAA